TGGTCTTAGCCACCCTTAGAAAGAGACCCAATGTGGTGTCGTGGAGAGAGTAACAGACTAGGACTCTGAAGATCTGTGTTCGAATGCCGTCTCGGCCGTGGACATTCACGGGGGGATGGAGGGAATTGGTCAAGCCGCTCCTTAAATATCTCATTTGCCTTGAAAGCCCTGCTCGGGTCGTTATAAGTCAGTTCCGACCTGACGGCATGCCACAACAAGTCCGTGGTAGACTGCCCCTGAAAAGAGAGGCTCCTTCTAAACCGGTGGTTATCAGAGACACGGCCTTTTGCAGTGTCTTTTTTCCTTGATTTACCCTCCTGATGAGTGCTTTTACGAGACAGTCCTTTATTTTCTGGAGAGATGCAGAAAAACCTTTCGCGAAACCTCTCGAGGAGAACCACGGCCCAGCGGCCCGATGACACTGCCTTTCGGGTGGACCGCCATGGGGAAAATCCCCTGCTCGTTAGACAGAATCATGCTAGTTAGCTTGGGGAAATGAATTGTTTTCTTATAGAAGCAATGGAGATAAAAGCCCAGTTCCCTGGTTTTTTTTTGTCTTCTTCCTCATCTGGATTTCATTCGCATCAGATGTTTGCAAAAGAAAAAAAAAGAATATTTTCACTGCTTTTTTCTTTCTTCCTCTCCCTTTAATTTGGTCCACTAGGTCCTGGGCAGTTTTCGAAACAGGCCAAGAAGCTGTATTCTCGGGGGGGTGGTGGTGGACCCTCAGTAGAACGAACATGATAATTTGGGCAGATGTTTAAAAACCAAACAGAATCGGTTTTGCTTTTTCATGCTGTCTCACGAAGCAGTGCTACCTTGGAGCTGAAAATCCTGTGGCACGGGTGTGTGTGTGTGTGTGCCCCTCAGCTCAGTGCCAGAAGGGCCCCCCGGGTCCCCTTTCTTCATTTCCAACCCGGGAGGCCTCAAAATCCAGGGTGATGACCAGAGGGTTCAAATTCTGGATGAGCGTCTTAGGAAGATTACATTTTGCATTTTCGGGTACTCGCAGTAAACTTCCACCGTTGCCCCCTCGGTCCGGTTGCCAGCTTAGCATGCCAGGGCTGAGAATTTTCATCCCGGCTGGTGTGTCATCTTTTTGCAATCTGGGGGCAGGACATTCATGCCTGGAGGGGACTGAACAAAAAGGAAGGCCGCCCATCCTTGATCACCTTCCCTAAAACCTCCATTTTTTGAGCCCTGTGCCAAAATCGAATGTGTTTTTTGGACCAGCTTCAGAGGTGCAAAACTTCCTGAAGTCCTTAGCTGCCAAATGTTGTCCGGATGGGTTAGGCTGAGGGAGAGATGCCCAACCTTTGATTTTCAAGGAGCAAAGGGTTCGAAAATCCAAACCCCTCATGAACGGGATAAAACGGGGAATAAATCCCTCACTGACCGCCAGGTTAGTGGCCTGGCGCTTGCCAAAGTGGCAGATAATTCGGTGGCCGGCCAGTTGGAGTGCCCAGTTCACAAAACGTGGATGGCACCTCTCGTTTTGATGGGTGATTTGAAGCTTCTGGGGGAAAAAAAATAAAAGCCACCTCCACCTGTTGCGTTCCAAGCCTGCCGTCCGGTGAACAGATGTCGGCTCCCAGCTACGATCACAGCAGGAAATCCAAGGTCACAGACAGTGGCTGGAACACTGTCCAGGCTAAGCAAATATGATAAACCGGCTTGTGGAATTTAAAAGAGAAATTGGAGGTACAGTAGATAAGACCAGACAAGGGAATGTGTGTCCGGGTGTCCCCCCACCCAAGGTTTTCGGTTCCTAGTTGAACAACTGTCTTTGTGTTTCAAGAAATGGATTGTCACCTGCAAAAGCTCACCCCAAATCATTTTTGTGTGTGTCTTAAACTTGTCGCAATACTTTCCGTCTGTTGTTTTCTTTGGCTGATCGACGCGACTCCGCTGCTCCGAAATCGTCCCGACAGGCAGGCTTCCTTCCGTTTTTCTTTCTTTCTGGACTCGGCCAGCTCGGTCCTTCGAGGGCGGTCTCGACGGGGTTTCACCTCCTGCCCCCCCTTCTCGTTTATTAAACATTTCAAACATGGAGCAAAGGGCGAGTTTGACCGGAGAACCCCCTGAGCCGTGTCTGGCCTTGTGAGGTTCGCAAAACTTCGAGGGAAATGGCCATTGTTCTCAAATCACTGACCATAAGAGCGAGGTGGGGTCTAGGAGGTCATCTAGTCCAGCCCTTGATGGATTAATAACATCCGACAAAACGGTGACCAGTCTCTACTTCGACACCAATGAAGGGAAAATGTCAAACCTTCTCCCTGTTAGGTTCAAACCTAATGCTACAAACTTCAGGATGAGTCTGGTCGTGAAGGAATCCGACACGCAGCGGCACCTGGAACGGTTTGCCGCGGCGGCGTAGGGGGGAAGCAACGTCTTAGGGTGACAACCCCAAAAATAAAACATGAGGCTGTGGCAGCAAGGCATCCGTGGTGTAGATCTGGCCCCCGAGCCTCCAGCCTCGGAAATTATGGGAGTGGTAGGCAGGCCCGTGCTTCAGAGTACAAATCCCCTTCTCCCCACCCCTGTTCCGGTGGATGATGGGAATTGTTCTCCAAAACATTGGGAGTGCCCAGCCTTAAATGACTTCACCAAGCCTGCACGTTTCGGATTTGATGGGAGCTTTAAATTGTCCACTAGAATTTGGGCGGGAGGAGTAATTTCGAGGTGGCAATTTTGCCAGATTTTTACATGCCCCGATCCTGAAATATTCCAAACTAGTCCTGCTGGCCTCTTTCATAGCGGGAGACGTTCTGCTGGGTAGGGGAAATATGTCTGACGTGTGGCAGCCGGTGGTGACCTTATGGAAAAACGGAGGCTGCTGATCATCGAAACACACTCTTCCGGGTGGGCTCTGGAGCCGTCTGGACATTTTCGGGGAAACACCCGGGCCCGGCTTGGGAGGAAACCTGGCGCACAAAATTTACCCCACCACCTCCGTTTTCCTGGGTTTCTTGAATCCTTGCAGTTCGGAAGGGTGTTGACAGATCAGCTTGCTCCTTGGGTACCGAGGGCTGAGGGCTTTCGTCTGCCTGCAAGAAGTCCTCACAGTTTTTTTTTTCTAGTTTACTTTCCCGACAACTCATGTCATTTCCCTCCGTTTAGTGGGAGGCTTATTTGCTCTGGAGCAAAACCAGCTTGTGTTTTCTTTTTCAAATCCCTGGGCTGGAGAGGAAAACCCTGCGTATGTGGGTGGTGGGGGTGTATATTTAAGGGGGTATAATAATAATAATTGCTGCCATAAAGTCAGTTTTGATTTATGGCAACCCTTTTGGGGTTTTCTAGGTAGTGAGAACTTAGAAGTGGTTTCGCCATGCCGTTCTTCTGGGAGCAGCCCTGGGGCGACGGTGTAGCTTTTGCCCAAGTGGGCAATCCCCCAGCAGGCCCAGTGGGGGATTCGAACTCCCAACCTCTGGCTCCATAGCCTGGCACCTCACCCATTGAGCTCTCCAGCCAGCTAAGTATTTATATTTATGTATGTGTGTGTGTGTGTTATTTTTTTAAAGACCTATCGCTAATAAGCCAAGAAAGCTCCCAAACTAGCTTTGGAAAAAAATATATATATATCTCGTAAAATGCAGAATAACAGATGCAGAAGGAAAAGGGGGGAAACCCACCAACAATGGAGAAAGAGTAGGAACAGTGTATAAAGCTAAGTTTAAAGAAAAATTGGGAGCAGGATAAAAGTGTTAAAGGTCAACATTTGCTCTCTTCCTAAGATCCTCTTGGATTACAATCCCCATCGTCCCCAACCTGTGCAAGCAAGGATGAAGGAGGATGGGCTAAAAAGTGGGATATGAATTCCAGAAGGCCACAGCCAGAAAGGCAGAAACTGACCAGCCATGCTGGTTTAAGGGATTCTGAAGAGAAAAAAAAGTTACCTTTCTGGCTTTGCCGTCTCTCCCTTTCTTGACTTCAGCCTTCCCCCCCCACAAAAAAACCTTCTTTTTCTTCTCTTTTGCTCCTCTTTGGGGCCTGTTTGGCACGCCTTCCCCGTTTTTCAAGGAAAGGAGATTTATTACCCTCCCAAGGATGTTTAATAAAATATTTACAAAGCATGTAGCTTAGGATGTGAGAGCCGGGCTCCTCCATCGCCCGCCCGCCTGCCGATTCTTCCTTGCCTGTCGAAAATCTGGGTGGCACAAGCAGAAATGTAAACGGAGCATTTTTTCCATCCCGCCAACACCCCCCCCCCAAAAAAAAACCCGATATAAATCTTTGGGGCTTTCCAACACTGCCATTCCTAATGGTTCAGTTTCTTCAAAGTTTAAAAAATAAATAAATGTGAGAGTACGTTTTTCTGATCTTGCTTCAGGACAGTGTCTGTGTGTCCCTGATTTCTCCAGGTTTTGACGTGAAACCCAAGTTTCTAGTCCTCAAGTCTGGAGGACTCCAGGGAGAATCAGGGCCTCCTGGTTCTTGTGGGGCCGAGAAGAAAGGTATGCCTCAATTAAAATGAGGCGGTGCGCCTCGTTTTAAGGAGGGTGTGTGTGTGATTGTTATTAAATCTAAAATCACATCAACATCCAAGAGGAATTACTTACCCAGGGCAGTCTTTGGGGTCTGAAAAAAATCAGAATTGCAATGGTCCTCAAGGTCATCTAGACTGACCCCAAACCAGGTAAGGAGTAGGAACCCGAACCAGCCCAGACAGGCAGCCATTCCACCTCAAAAACCACCAGCAAAGGAGAACCCATTGCTGTCGGGGGACTCTGTTGTGCAGTTGAACACCCCTTATTCTCAGGAAGCTCTTCCTCAATCATGAGGTTTTAAAAAAAAAACAAAACTAAAAAACCTAGCCTTCTCTCATTTGCTTCTGGTTTTAACGACCCTCAGATGGCGGAAAGCAGCACGGTTTTATTTCCCTCCTGACGGAAAACCAACGTAACAACGAACATCAAGTCTTTCCCCCCTTGCATCTTAAAAATAATTGTTTGCATCTTGGAAAACATCAATAGAACGCATTTGAAAACAAGAAAGGCGTTGACTTTTTTATTCTCTTAATTTGCATTGCTTCCCCCCCCCCAAACTCCTTCTTTGTTCGGAAATAACAATGGTAAAAAACGCAGCCCAATGTGTGAACATTGGCACAGTTTTTGGGTGTGTCTCTGTGTGCAATAAATTAGGAAAGCAAGAGGGGTCGGGGAAGAAAGAAGCAAAACGGATGGGTTTTTCCCCATCCCACCCCTTCAATGCATGAAGGCAGAATGCACTGGGTGATACCTAAATAAATATCATAAGTTACTTTGAATAAATAGTTTATCTATAACGATAATATAGAAAGAGATTGCATCAGATCCATGGGACAACGGGACCAGCACCCAGGCAGTGAAGAAACTAGGGGGTGGAAAGACCTGGTATTTTGGGGTGGGTGAGTGGGAAAAATAGATACTGTGGGGAGAAGGTCGATCTAAATCAATAGCTAGGGTCAGACCCATATGCTATAGTGAACATGTCGTGTGGAAGGGACAACACGGTTTTCCCTCCAGAGACGTCATTCCTTCAAATGTCCACGCCAGAGCCATCGGACTTGGAATTCCCCCTCCCCGCCATGTGCAGAAGTCGGGTGGCAGGGAAGAAGTTGGCGGCAGAGGGAAAAAGGGGAAGGCCTGGCCTCCTGTAGGTGAATCGTGATCAGAAGAGGGTGGGCTCCCACATCTCGGGCCCATGGGCACCTCTGCTCCCTCTCTTGGCTTAGGTTGCCCCAACCCGGCCCTCCCAGAGGTCACGTATGGCTGTGGGTCACTGTTTCAAGGCCCCTCAAACGCCGATATGCCATCTTGCATGCGGTTTCGCGGCCTCTTGTTCCGGGGTTAACCCAATTTACTGGCCATGGGAGTACTCGGTGGGGTTTAGGCCATCTGGATCCCGGCCGGGAAAGCTGCGCCAAAGAAAAGAACAGAATGTGGGAAAAAGGCTTCCATGACACGGTCGCGGTCTTGTAAAAAAAAAAGTGAGAGAATGAAAGAAAGCTGGATGAAACTCATGGGCCAAGAGAAGCTGTGCCCGTCTTTGGGAGTGAGCGCGGGCCGTTCGGAGCCATCCGTGCGGCCACCACGAGCCGAGGGCAAAGAACCGGGAACATGGGGGGGGGGGTTGGCTCCCACATCTCTCTCTCGCTCTCTCTGATCTTTAGAAAATGTGTGGCAAAATTGTACTATAAAGGGAGAGGGTTAGAAAAAGGAGGCCAGATTGACAAGGGTTTTTCAGGAAAACGTTGCAAGGGAGAAAAAGCATCTTTAAAACAGGCCCCCGTTGTTGGAGACGCATCCGGGCAGACTGAACAAGTTTGGAGAAGGAGAAACAAAGAGAGAGAGAGAGAGAGAGAGAGAGAGATGCACAGAGGAAGTTAAAAAAAACCAAACCTCCCCAGAGAGAAAAAGTGAGCCGGCGAAGGAAGAATCAGAGTTAGAGGCCTTCCCCGCTTTGGTCTTGAGTTCCTGGATCCACCGATTCCTGCTTTGAAATGCAAGATCACAGTCGCTGGCCGTCGACATGGATCCGGGAAGGGCCAGAGGTGGTTGGATTGCAGCACCCAACATCCTCGGCTCAGGCTGATGGGGGCTGCTGCCCAACAAGAGACAGAGGGCTGCCCTTTGCCTGCCCTAGGGGCCGACCCCGAGCGGCCGAAGCTCGGACTCCGAAGGAGGCGCCTTCCTTGGCTTCTGTTTAAGCCAGGCCTTTGTGCCGATCCACGAGGACTAGAAACTTGATTTCTCTTTAAGAGAAAGGCTGCGGCACAGCCCTGTTGCCTTGGCGTGGTTCAATCCACGGCGTCTCCGGTCTGGGCAGCATTAAAATGAGGTGGACCGAAGGTCAGCCCGGGGATATGATTGCTCCCGATGCTCTGCTCGCCCGGGGCCATGGACAACCTCTGCGGAACAGAATCTGGCCCCTTGGGGTTGCTAGGAAGCTTCACCAAGAGTCTAAGCCGTGGTGTAAACCCCTGTGAGGACCCTGCTGTGGGGTTGATTTTATCCAGACGCTTCTTTTCCCCCCACCCACTCCAAACAAGTCCTCTGCTCTCCCCCCCCCAGACCCTTAAGACGTGCGGCCAGGATGGCTCGCCATCAATGCGGGATGTAACCCCGACCGTCAGCACATGCTGTGTCTCTCACAGCCAGGTCACCCTTGTTTACTCCTGCACCCACCCACCCCCCAGATAAATGGATCCCCGAGCTTCTGCCTTGCCCGCACGAGATCCCTTTGTCTCCTGGATGAGAAACACTTGCCTTTTCCATCCTCTTCTATCCCCACTCCCGGCCTGGCCCTTTTTGGCTGCCTTCCCGGGTTGAAGGGAAAAAAAGCAAAATCAATGAGGGAGAGGCGTAAAAACCCGTTCGTCTATTGCGGGAAAGCTCCCCGGGGAATTGACTTGATCCCAACAGCGGGCCCCACCGTCCAAGGCCAAGGGCAAGACACGTCCCGTACAAAAAACAAAGGCTCGTTTGTGGTGATCCAAGGGGTGCTTCACTCCCTCACTAAGCCGGTAGTCCTCATGGATTTTCACGCCCGTCTCTCCCTCATTCACAGGCACTCCCTAGATGTCTTTTCCTTTCCCAGCCCTATCTTGGAGGTACAGAGATTCAAACTTGGGACCTTCTGCCTCTATGCCTTCTTTCTCATTCAGTTTGGACCTCACCCCATCCCCCAACCTGGTCATTCCTCTGATATTAAATCAAGAAAACGTGTCTTTTTCTGCTCTCCAAAAATTAAGGAACTCGGCCTTAAGCCTTGTCTTTTGGAGAAGCTGATGCAATATCTCATACAGAATGGAAGAACCAAGTATGTATCTCTCAATATCTCAAACCGGTATCTACATTACTCATATACAGTATATTTGAAATATTGAGAAATACATACCAAATATATATAGCGATACACTCTCTTTCTCTCTCACACATACACATATATATGCACACACAGAGACACACAGACACAAATACACATTACACCGGACTGTTGTAAATGTACATTAAAATAAAGATAGGATAATGATCTTACGGTCCGAGAGATAATTCTCTGGATTGCTGATCTTTTCCTCCACACGTTTTTGAAAAGTTTGGCATGTGTGGAATCAAATGAACCGCCTGGCTTCAAAATTGCCCGAAGTAAAGATTTTGCGTCCGCTTTACCAAAGCAGAGAGATCTCACAGGAAAATGGCTTCTTCTCATTTTCCGGTTACGGAGTTGAAAAAACACGGCATGAATGCGGCAACAAGGCAGTGGATTATGGTGTCCCGTCTGCCCTGGAAAAAACACCTCATTCTCTGTTGTGAGGAACCGAAGACGGAAATAAACCAGACACTGACTTCACAAATAGGAGCTGAGAAAACATTTTCCCTCCAAAGACGCTTTTCCTCCAAAACTTCTGTACTGGCCCAAGCAATTTGCAAACGATGCCTGTTCTCCTCTCTTCATGCCCTGCAGCCAAGCGAAAAGGAAAAGCTGAACTGCAACCGGACAGACCTCATGAACGTCAGTTGAGAAGAGACGAAAGGATTCCACCTCTTACAGGAGCTCCGGTTCCGATAACGGACTTGCCGTAACGACGGTTTTGGGCCCCTGATGGCCATCCTTCCAGTGTTGTGCCACTGGGCATCCCCTTGCGAGAAAGATATGGCTTCGGCTATTCCAACGGATACGCAGGCCGTGCGTCCATCGCTAGCACAGAGGCATATATCAAAACCAGTCCTCTCTTTGCTGTTCCGAGTGCGAGTGTCTCCACCGCCCTCTCTCATATTTTTATATTTTCATTCCCCGCTCTCTTTCTCGCTTGTCTTTGGACAACTGGTCTTCCCTCGGCAGCTTCTAACGAACCGTGCGACGGAGAATTTCGCTCCCCTCTGTGTTACGCCCTCTTTCCCTCCTCCTCCTCCGTCACACGCAGCCACATTCCTTGGCCGACACCTCGTTGACCGTGTAGTACTTGTTCCCCGTGTCCAGGAAAGAGACGTCATCGTCGTACGCCAGGGGTCGGCAACATGGCCGGGCCCGCACTTTCTCCTTCTTGATCTTCCGCATGCTTCGGACGTTCTTCAGCGAGAGGTCATAGTTGCGCACAGCCGAGTCGCAGGTTCCGCTGCAGTAGCGGAAGAGCACCGTCTCATCGGATTCGTAACCCAGACCCAGTTCGCTAACTGTCACCTCCAGCTCCTTGAGGGAGCAGGGCTTGTGGCGGGCTTTGGCCCGCTTCATCCGGTTGCCAGCCCGGGCGAAAAGGGGGAGCTCGTGGCCACCGGAGTTCATGGACTGGCTGTAGCGCTCGATCAGGGTGGAAATCAGCTGGCGGATTTCTCCCTCCGTGTAGCTCTCGAAGAGTGTGCTATCTGTAGGGGGGGGGATCCAACGTTTTTATTTTCAAAGGAAAGAAGAGAAGACGAGAATTAGCAAGGAGAGAAAGGAATGAAAACACAGAGCCAAAGATGGAGAATGAGGAACTTAACTTAGCATGAACGGGTGTTCAAAAAGAGAGAGAGAGAAATATAGAGGTAGATCAGAGAGAGAGAGGCAGAGAGAGGTCGAAAGTCCCCCTCCTCTTTATTTTGTGAGTCCAGGGAACCCCCTGCCACAAGATGGGATTATAGCAGTCCCAACCCAAATGGAAGGGGGTAAGGATCGAACCTGGGGCTGTCCTGAGGCTTCACAGCTCTGTAAGGGACCCAGGCGTAGATCTCTCTGCCCGCAGGCCAATGCGCTTCCCCCCTGCCACATTATATATTCCCTCTCTCTCTATCTATTTTCTCTCTCTGGTTTGGTTCAGATTTTCCTTCCCCACCCCCACCCCTGGAAATGTCACTCCCTTGTTCGCCTGCAGTTTTCAGCAAGTAAATACAGTGGTTCTTTCTTCTGATCCCCTTGTTTGTTCCCTCGCGTCCTCCTGCTCCTCTGTGTTTGTTTGCTGGAAGCTCGAATTTGGTGAACCTTTTTCCAGGGTCACGAAACGCACCCCTTCTGACCCGAAACAGAAATCACAGAATTTCTTGAGAAGCCGAGTAAAAGGGCCCGAAGATCAGGGGAAATCAAGAATTGACCTGAATTGGTAGCTCCTGCTTTGGGTGAGGCTGGCCTCTGGTTCGATCCTGACCCATCGTCCCTTCAGCATGCATGTTCTAGACACATCTTGTGGCTGGGAGTTCCCCAGATGCACACCATAAAAGGTAGTTTTATTGTGTTGGCTTCATCTTAGCCCTGCTGCTTACCCACCTTAAATGCTTTAATTTTTTTCTCTTTGTTAAAGGTGAAAGACAGATTAAATTAGTGTCATAAACACAGAAATGAAGATATAAACAAAGGGAATGAAACACTCTTGTGGCTTTTCGCCACACACTGAGGTCCCGTATAACTCTAATGGAAAGCACTTATTTGATTTATATCTATTTAGAATATTTTTACCCCGCTTTTCTCTTTTAAAAGGACCCAAGCCAGCTTATATCATCATCATAAAAAAAAAATACAGAATTTAAAATACTGCTTGCTGGATTAGACCCAGTTTGGGAAAGTTGGTTCTTCTTCAGTATTCAAGTGGAACATGGGAAATGTAGTCCCCCCCCCAAAAAAAGATTCTTTCCCTCCACATTTTTTTCAGGTTGGGAGGTCATGTCATCCAGAAATCCAACCCCAATCAACTGCTTATTAAATCCGTTTCTTAAGGCATATATAAACCCCAAATTAAAACCAAGTCAAGGCTGGCAGGCCAGCGGGGTGGGGAGGTGGGCCGGAGGGGGGGGAAACCCTGTAATCCCATCTCGATACCCTTCAGAGGAGTCCCGGCTTGGCCCAGGCTCCCCCCCCACGCTGACGTGGGAAGCTCACATCTTGATTTCATTGCCTCGTTATAAACGGGATTATCTTTCTACTAAATAAGAGTTGATTGGGATGGTTGTGGTATTTAATTACACGGTCTTGCATGTGTGTGTGCGCGCACATATTCCAATTTGTAAGCAAGCACATTCTGAAAGATATGCCTTTGAAACCTTGCTATTAAAAATAGACATGTCAACTGGGGAATTGTGGCAGTCCTGGTCAAAAAAAGTAACTTTTCTTGACTTTTCTCCTTAATGCTCTGCATACAACTCTTTCTCCTAATTCCTTCAACTTCCACAAAACCATTAGAACCTTCCTATTACTGGGCCTGGAAGGTTACAAGTTACTTGTTACAAGTTACTTTTTATTCATTACTTTTTGGAACCAGGGGTTAGTTTCTTGCAGTGGGTTACTTCTCGTTCATTCGTTTCTGTGGTGATGAAAGGCTAACTTTGCAGTTGCAATGTAACCATGTCAAACCTGTAGTGGTAACTTTTAGTTACTTAGATGTGTTTTCGACCTCAACCCAATGCCTTGTCACAGTCTAAAATAAGTAACTAAAAGTAACTACTTGAGTATCATAGGAGAAGCACGGGGTTGCTTCGATTAAACTGTTACCATCTGTGTAACCAACTACTTTTGGAGTCCTGAAGTGGCAACAGTAACAATAACTGCTTTTTTTGCTTTTTTAAAAAGTAACTGCCCAAGCTCTGTTTCCAACTGGAGGTTCTTGGGGCTTTTTTAAGAGACTGGATGTAACTTAAAAAAAAATAAACCTCTCATCAACATGGCCTCTAATCCTCAGAGCTGTCATCCAAAACAGGGGAAAGTAACCTTTTTTTTCCAAACCATGAAGAGGAGAAACTTAAGAGAGATGGCAAACATCTGCTTACACTGGGCGAGGAGAGAAGGCCGGCGCCTCAGATCCCGGGGGTGTCGCCTTGGGCCTCCGGCTAGGGAGGATGATGAGGATGATGTTCTGGGGAAGAGCGGAGAGGAGGCAGAGGAGAAGGCGTTTAGGGGGCTCCCACGGAGAAGGTCTCTGCACACCAAGGCGGACAGCATGGAGCTAAAGACCATGGAGACGATAGCTGCCAGTTTCCATACCTTCATCTTAGACGGACTCAGGACATTGAAAATCTGGAAAACAAAAGCGGAGAAGGGAGAGAGCGAGGCAGACTTTAAACGGCACCACCTCCAGAGGAAGGGGAGAAGAAAAAACGACACTCAGGTCTTGCAAAGCGCTCTTATGATGGGCCTGGCAGCTCAGGTCTTACAAAGGGCACCTGACTCTGCCCCTCAACAAACAATTCTAGGAGCCTTCTGGAATAGGTTTTGGGGTACACAGCAGTGGGGAGATGGATTAACCCCCCCCCCAGATTTAGTCCGAGTTTAGATTTTGCACGAAAAGAGATACCCAGGACCAGAGGCAAACCTGAACAGCCCTGTTCATTCGTTTTAATTTGCTTTTAATTTATTTTGAAATGGATGGGTATTTGACAGTGAAAACCTGTTTCACGATTAGGGAAGGTCGCCACCAGTCAGAACCGACTCGGCAGGCTATGATTATATTTTTAAGCTGTTTACAATAGCCGTATAATTCGGATGTTACCACGCCCTGCGTTTCCAAAGCGTGTGGTGTGAAGCCACTTCCAGTCCCAGCGTTTGGCAAAAGAAAAGAATAAATAACAATAAACCAGAGGCAGGAGGGAACAGAAGTAACATGACATGCTAAGGACCACATTAAAATAGTTCCACCAGGGCATTCGAGGAAGTGGTTTATGACCCAACAAAGCTCAAGTAGAAATAAATCCGTTCGCCTTGCGAATAAAATAAGTCTGTTCGCTTCCATTTTGGGATTTTCCCGATCACTTTATTTCAAAGGACGGCTTCCCTAACAACAAAACAACCAAAAAAGGGGGCCATTTTCTCCCATGTCCACCCAGAGAGCAAACGAAACATTGGCCGCATCTCCACAGGGTACGATCCGGATCAGGCTGGCTCAGCAGAATCCGTCCAGCTTTGTGACCACTTTGCAGAGGTAAGTAAAAGTTCCGGACTTTTTAAAAAAATTGTATAACGTCAGTTGCGTTGTGGGATAAAGCAGGCCATGATGGTTACCGCTGTTACTTCCAACCTTTGCATACAGGTAACACGATTAATGAAAAGGCTGCGCCAGGATATTTCAAGTTTTCGTCCTCTGCAAACCCTGGACACAAAATAACGAGAGCACGAAGGTTCGTTGGACGAATCACTGCTCTATCCGCACGGTGTCTGAAATGACATCACTTCATGCCCCGGTTTCTGTGTGGCCAGAAGCAGACAAAATAACCCTCTCTTGGCCAAGATTCTAGTCCTCAAGGCTGCCAAAAAAGAAGGCTGCTATTGTGTGTGTGTGTGGGGGGGGGGGGGTTAAGCACAAAAGCTTCTTGATGAAAAGGTTCCCCCCCTCCTAAAAGTAAATACACAATTGTCTAATCTCGTGCGAAGAGGAACCCATCTGTGCCTTGGTGACTTTTTGCATCCTTAAAAAGAAAAAAAGAAAAAATATATATATGTACCACTTGTGTTTTTGAGCAATCCAAACATTCGGAGCAGCCTTTTGCCTTCTCTGAAAATTCGTCCGCTTGGAGTTTGGCTGAACATTAAATAAACGACCATTCCTGACTTATCCAGAGGCGAACCTTTGCTACAACTCCCTCTCGGTGAGAAATACACAGTTTATGGGAAGCCCAGCCTTTGGGGGGGGGGAGAGAAGATTTGAGGGGAGGGAATGGATTTTTTTCCCCTCCTCTCACAGTTTTTCCACCCTCGTGTGAGTCTCCCGCCTGCCTGGCAGCGAAATCGGGCCCCACGTGTGTCCGAAACAAGTTGGTTATTTGTTTTAAAAGCCCCCAGAGATTTAATTTGCAGTTGGGGACAGCGTGAAAAGCCAAATATGGTCTTTTTTCCCCTAGATTTGGGGCCTTTTCCCAAGGAGAAGTGGAGGCTGGTCTCCGCTACCCAATTTGGGCACGGCCGAATGCTTGTGGAAGAAAGGCCTGGTGTCCCGCTTGCAAGGGGGCCCAGCGGATTCTAAAGGATAATTTAAACGGCGATTTGTGGCCACCAACATGGGAGAGAAATAGAACCACGGGGGGGGGGCAAAGCCGTTCGGTACGAATCTGTGGCAAGTGCATTTTTCGGGACACAGATTGCGAATCCACCCCAGCCATGGTCCTGAGAAGCAAGTTCTCCACGCAGCCACGGTGTCCACCTTGCTACCAGATCTTCACCTTCCAGAAGTCCACGTGTTTCCCAGATGTGGAAAAAAAAACCCTGAAGGAGAATTCCTTGCTTTCTTGCACAGCCGGCGAGAGGCAACCCCAAGTGCGGATCGTGGGGGTGGGGGGTTTTGTGCGAAGCAAAGAAAGCACGTCCCCCCCACACACGATGTGGAAAGGTGGCCTTCAGAAGCACCGCAGGCCTCGTTCGTTCGACCCTCTTCACCACCAAAAACAGCAATCCACAAGGGGACACACACACACCTTTTTATTAAAAACCTATAAAACTCAAGAGGAGGGGGCGTTTCGGCCAAACAGCAGCCAGCTTGGCTCTGGCAGCAGAGGAAGGGGGGGCGGCGGCGCGGGAGCATCGGGACGATCTGTTTTTCCAATTTACCCCCTCGGCATTATAAAGTCGTGCGGCGGCGTTCCCAGTCTGTCTGTTAAGAGACATTGTCAAGATGTTTCGGAAAGGGCCGGATTAAAAGAGCTTAAGGAAAGTTTTGGGGAGAGAGAGCAAGCGAGAGAGAGAGAGAGAGAATATTTCTAATATAAAATCAAAACAGGCCTTCCATTTTTTAAAAAATATATTTTTAAATAAACACGGAGAGAAAGAGAAGATTGCTCAGGGTGGGGAAAAAGAGCAGAAAAGGACCTTGTCGTATTCCAGGATGGGAGAAAAGCAGCCGCTGTGCATCTCCGGAGTAGAAATGTAAACTTTAGTAGAGAGAAAATTCCTCCACAGGAGGGGAATCTTGCAGGGCTTTCCGATCCCCCGCAAAGGTGCCTTGTGGGGGTGGAGACAGCCTAAATCCACAAAGCCACAGAATTTAGCAGGGTTGTCTTCACATCCTTAGTCTTGACATGGGTTGTGAGACACCTTGTCCTTGATGAGATCCGGCCACGCAACGTGAACTTTTTCAATGCCAGGCGCCCGACGTGTCTCGAACTCGCCTTCGGTTTACGTACTGCGCCAGAGAGAAGAGAAGAAAGGATCCAGTTGTTTCAGTTGCACGATGATTTTTGGCTCAGCTTCTCCCCGATCTACAAGTTTGGACTTCGGCCCCAAACCTGAAAGAGAAAAGCTTGGCCCGGTTCAGAGATGTTGTGTGCAAAGGGAGAGAAATCCAGAACTCCATGTTTGTCTTGGCAAAATCAGAAGGGATTAAAACCACCGGAAAATGGAGATTGATCCTCAGTCAGTTGCCCAGTAGCAGGAGTTTTCTTGATGGTAATTAAATAACCTTAATTTCCCCATTTCTCACTCAAACCCCTTCAGGTAGTTTTGCTTTGATGGGGACCAGGCACTGTAGTTCATGTCCAAATGACACACTTAGGAAACCTGTTGTTGTTACATTTTCCCTCTGGACACGCACTTCCAACAAAGCTCCACGCCCAAGCAAGCAGACCGGCAAATGAATCCCATGTTGACCCACCAGTGACCAATCGCAAAACAAAAGGAAGCTCATTTGCATCATGCTCAGTGAGGCAAGGATAAACAAATGTTTTTCACCTCTTAAGGGATCTCTGCTTCTAACGACGTGCTAACAGTACTGCTGAGTTTGGGCATCAACATACATGGCCATTGTAGCCTCACAACAACCTAGTGAGGTAGGATCAGAGAGAGAGGGGGGGAAAAAAACAGGCCTGAAGTTACGTCGTGACTCAATACAGGGCGGATCCTGACTGTGACGCCACTCGAGTTTTTCTCACTTCCGGTTGAAAAATGGACTGTAAGAGACATTTTAAAGCGTCTTTGTGCGTAATCCCCACAGAATGATGAATCTAATTAACAGGATGATTAGGAACAGGTCCCTCTGTTTCTCTCTCTCAGGCACCTCCATCCAGGCCATAACACAAACCAGAGCTGTTCCCTTCGCCGCCAGATGGTTCTGTTTTATCAGGAAAAATCCTCGTACGAAGCATTGCCTCAGAGAGTATGCTAACAGTGCCACCTAATCCCTTCCCGTGGTCCCCTCTCCTCCGGACTCGATTCCCCCCCTCGACCCCTCCCAATTCAGGTGCACGGATTAAGTAACATACACTCTGAACATCTTATCCTCTGGGGGGGGGGACTCTCAGACTAGTGATGAGATTTTTTTTATGAAAAGAAGCTATTGGGGAAAATAAGTGCAAGCTACGAGCGCCCGAAAGGCATGCTATGGGTCCCGGATGTGGGCTCGGCTCATTTCAATGGCCTCCCGGGAAACCAGCTTTAAAAATCAGAACAGTTGTGTTGTGATCCTTCCTCCGAAGAGCAACGAGAACTTCTCAATGTGCTTGATGTGTGGAGAACCACAGCTATGTAAAAAGATGGCTGTCCATACCAAGTGGAAACCCCGTTGAGGAGAACCCGCTAACGAGGGTAAGGCAGGGCCGATGCGGCTGCGAGTTGGTGCATGTGTTGTCAATTACGCCAGGCCTGGTTCCCTCTGTGTGTGTCACCACCACCACCGAGATGCTAGAATGGTGTCCGTTGTTCAGAGCACTAAGGAGTTGACGTGGGATCACCGTCAACAGAGGTACAGGCCTTGTGCTCAGTGGAGAAAAGCTGGATCCTTCCTCTGGTGGATCCACCAGAGTCTCTTTCCTGCCTCACTTGGTTTGGGGCAAGGTTTAGGGGTCACCTCCCCTTTCAATAACTTGCATCCCCAAACATCTGAGAAACATCCACAAACCGTTCAGCCTTTAGAGGCTTCCTCCGAGAGACTGGCAAAAGTGATCAGAAGGTTTATCCGGATTTCTCCAAATCTGCCCCACTGCTTTTCCTACAAAACCAGCGTGGTTTCACCTTCTCCAAATCCCGGAGGCCTCCAGTATCATCTTTCAACCGACTCCTGAGAGGGTGATTTCGACAGAGGTTGTCCTGTGTTGAGG